GCCCCTCCCTGAGCCTGGTTCTGCCGGAGGTTTCTTCCTGTTAAAAGGGAGTTTTCCTTCCCACTGTCGCCAAAGTGTTTGCTCATAGGGGGTCATATGATTGTTGGGTTGATGGTAGCATAAACACTCTGCTGTCTCACCAGCAAGTCCTGCCAAAAAATGCTCCAGCACAATGGCATCCAGCAACCGATCCTCCTCTCTCATCAGACCAAGCTCCAGCCACCTAGCTGTAGCATCCCAGAGCTGACAGTTATACTTGCCTTCATCCAGCTAACCAGGAACAAACGGCAGTGTACCTCTAGAGAGGCCCAGCTAGTCTAGGATCGCCATAGTTAACATTATTAATGATAAAGCTTTATAAAGATTTTAGAACAATGAAATGTCCCAAGTAGGGCTGAGCTATATCATACCGTTCACGGTAATACTGGTGTAATTTTGGGGAACGATAGGAAAATGAAATATCGTGATAGAATATGGGTAAAACGCGCATGCGCAGTGCCTATGTTTACATACGCACATGGCGGCGACGCAGAATGAGAAGAGCAAAAGTGGAACATTAAATGAAACAGATGAACCAGAATTGGTTTGTAAAAATGCTGCAACTTCAGTGGTGTGGAACTGGCGCTCGAAAATCTGTCAAATGTTTTAGTATGACTTTGCTAAGCTACGAAGCCGCACCGCTTGATGGATTGTTGGAGCATTACGGCTATATTAGGCAGGCGCGTCTCGGAGTGAGGAGCCAATTTCCACTGGAAATGTCTTTTGGTTAAACTGTCAGCAAGGGATTTGCAATCGCACTGTTACATTTTTATATAACTTTAACGCACATAAAAAACAGCTGCTTGTTTAAGTGAAAATACATTGATGGGGTTTTTTTGCACTAATAAAGTTGTGGAGTTGTAAAGTATTTTGTCTAGTGTCAATTATATCGTCAGTTATATCGTTATCGCAAATTTTCAAATGTATATCGTGATAAATAGTTTTGGTCATATCGCCCTGCTCTAGTCCCAAGTACTGATTAACGAAAGGGAATACTGATACCTTCGGTTAAAATGTTTTTTGAATACATGCTGACAACATTTCGGCTCACCTTTGCATTATTACAATTTGAACATTTCTCATAATTTTTTTGACAATGTCATAAAACAGAAGCACACAGCAACACCTTAATCAAAAATGACAAAGTAAATTGAAACTTTGATCAAATATCCATTCTAAGCATAAATGTACTTTGATGATAGTCATGTTTTGCTCTTCCTGACTAAGGCAAAAAATGACCTTGGCAAGGTACAAATCCACAATCGCCTTATCTCTGGATTTTCTTTTTCCAATTAAATCCTACAAAATTATACACCTGGATTGGCACAAATCAATGTATTTGATAGCACCAGAATTGTCCAGCATTTTGACTAAACTAAACTCAAAGATGTTCAAAAGATGACTGGAGTGCAGAGGGGCACAGATGTATAGTGAGGGTGCACTGGGAGTGTCTGGCAAAGGCCCCAACTTGTGAGATCTTCAATTCACAAAACTAGCAAGGAAGGAAGGTAGTCTCATTTTTCCTCCTGGAAGAGGCTGGGAAGATCAAATCTGAATTGACTATGTTTCTCACCTCCATTGTTCAGGCAGCTGTACACATTTGTAGTCTCAAGGTAGCTGTTGCCTGTTGTTACAGAAATACACAAACCAGAGGTGGACATGAGGTGTCAGTCCCATTGCTACTAGCCATTTGATGCACTTAGCACTAGCCACAACAACACTGATCGCAAGATGTGTGACTTGTTCCTGGTGGGACTTCACCAGGCCTTTACATTTTTATTGATAATTGTTCATTGTTTTTATGGATAGAATTTCTTGGCAGATTCAAGTGCAGGATGCTTCAACTTTGGTGGTGTCAGGATCTCAACTTAAATTATATGGTTTTTTGGCTTGTATATTTGACAGTTGAGTTCATTTGGTCATAGTACAACATAAATGACAACTGGATTTGAATGTGTAAGCTTAAGTTAAGTTTTGGACTACTTTACCCTTTGGTATCGACGGACACGCCAGTGCGTCAAAATCAGGTGACAAATTTACGACGACACAGCAACAAGATGCAGCGACCCAGAGTCTCCATTTCAACTTGGGTCGAAAGTGCGGACTTCAAGCTATACACCAGTTTTTAAACTGCGTTGATAGGCCACGTAAAAACAGAGTTATGATCAAAAATACACGCCATGTGTTTTTTCTGAATAAAACAGTGGTGTTAACAGCGGGAAGAAACGGTAAAAACAGCATTTTCTACAGATACCGCTAGCAAACACTCTCTGCTTGCGAGTGAAAAAAAGAAAAGAAAAGACACCTCTTCCCTTCCCTGGTGGTGTTAAAGTGTACCATGTCAACCAATCAAAAAAATTATATGGCAAGATCTGGCATTTGGTTGTTTGGGAAGAGGGGGAAGTTTTAGGAGCGACACTGGTGAGATTTCGCATTGAGAGATTAGTGTTGTTTAGTGTGTTTGGAGGCTATAGTTAGTGTGTAATGTAGTCATTGTTCTGTTTTGTGTGTCAGTTATACTGATGAATGTCATAGTTGCTCCAAAAAAGGAACCAAAGGCAGATTCCAGTGTAAAATCTGTCTCCACGTGGAAAACAGGAATGATACACCTCCTGCTGTCAGACCTGCAGGGTTTAGGCCTGTATTGTCGTCCTACAATGTAAATAAACTATATTTTGGAGTGGCACAAATCGTTTGTGTGCCTTCCTATTTGATGCAGAACACCTGATTGTTCTGTAAGTAGTTTTAAATAATTATATAAAAAACGCCTGAGGCCTTGGCTGCATTTTTTAGGTAAATAGTACCATATAACTTTGTTGTTTACAAAAAACTGCGCATTATTTGTAGACATGTACAATTTCTATTTGCATTTAAAAACATTGATGGAGAAATTTTAATTTCTCTTAAGACTAAGAAAAAATTATCTTGTTCCACTACAATACTAAAGACTTGTAATATCTGATGTGTTTATGTAATAATGTTACAGTGTATCTTATTTAAAACAAACAAAAAAGTCAGACGCGACTGTCAATAGAAAAGAATGCCACCGTTTGTCCCTCCTCCTCCTCTGTGTTGCAGCTATAAATATTAGCAGAAGCTTATTTTTTTCTTGTTCAACCTGGAGGGAAGCAGCTGAGTTTATTGTTATGAGTTCTTAATATGTAAGAATCTGTGTAATTGAATCTTAAATCGTTTAAAGTATAAAACTACTTGCTGTTTGTTTTTGATTGCTAATGTGGACATTGTACAACAGGTGCAACAGCTGCTGAGAAGGAACGTGCCATAATCAGGTAACATGTGTGTGTAAAACAGCATTTGAACGGTATCATAGAAACGTTGCTCAGCTATATTGATGTCTGGTATTTCTTTCTAATGAATATAATATATCATTATTACTGATCTATCTTATCCACTGTGTCGTATTAAGCAGAAAATGGGAAACTCAAGTGAGACTGTATCATTTGTGCTGGCTGCTTATGGAAATATTGGAGAGTTGAAATACCTTTATTTCATCATAATACTCGTCTGGTATTTCTCTATATGTGTGGCAAACACAGTCCTTATTGTGGTCATACGTCTGGACAGAAGACTGCATGAGCCAATGTATATATTGCTGTGTAATTTATGTGTGAACGAAATAAATGCCAGCACATCACTGTATCCTCTTTTGCTCTCACAGATGTTTTCAGACAGCCACGAGGTGACTGTGCCGTGGTGTTTTCTGCAGATGTGTTGTATGTACACAAGTGCACCTGCTGAATTTTGCAGTTTAGCAGCCATGGCTTATGACAGATATATCTCAATCTGTCATCCATTACGCTATAATGTTATTATGAAGACAGAGAGAGTGTTTTTGTTGATTCTGCTTGTGTGGGTGTATTCATTTCTTAGTTTTATTTTCTCATTTTCATTCATCTTCAGTTTGAAGTTTTGTGGAAATATTATTCACAACACGTATTGTGACCACCAATTAATAATTAGACTTTCATGTTCTGTTCCAATCCAGAGCTTTATTTCTAACATATCCTTTCTCTTATTGAGTGTTTTCATACCCTTCAGTCTCATTTCAGTCTCTTACATGAAGATTTTGAGAGTTTGTCGAAAAACATCAAAAGAAAACAAGCAGAAAGCTGTGACTACTTGTACCCCTCAGATCATCTGTGTGTCAAATCTGTTTGTCGGGTGTATTTTTTACTTTATTGACATCAGATTTTTAGTTTCTCAGGTACCAGATGAAGTTCGTATAATTTTGCCTATGTATCTCCTCATTTTTCAACCTATGCTCACCCCATTTATGTATGGATTTAAGTTGACAAAAATAAGGCAATCATATCAAAGGTTTCTGTTTGAGAGAAAATAAATATCTTTGTTCAGAATGAGACTATCCTAGAGCATCTTTGCTCTGTTGGAGAATAAAGGAATTCGCTGCATTTCTAACTGAAGTCACGATAAAATATGACTCCTTTCTTATTGTCGTGGATTTTAATATTCATGTGTGCTGTCCAGAAAAGCCCAGTATTTTTTAATCTTACTGATTCTTTTAATTTAGTTCGATGTGTGTCTGCACCCACGCAACAGTGTGGTCACAGTCTTGATCTGGTTTTAGTGCACTGATTGCCTGTTTTTAATCTGAAAGTCTCTGACCCTGTTTTCTCTGATCATATGCTGGTTCTGTTTGACATCTCTTTATCTAGAAATGAATTCAGGAGGCATGTCCTTGCTAAGACATCTCGTTTGTTAAATTCTTCCACTGCTGCTCGGTTCTCCACCTGCTATAATCAGTTCTCCATTCCTGAGACACTCCAATATGTAGAGGAACTACGGTTTCATACCACTTGTCAGACTGCCTTGGATATTGTTGCCCCTCTAAAAATTAGGCATCCTAAGACTAAGTTTGAACCCTGGTTGAATGATGAAACTCGTGCTGCGAAGCGTGAATGTCGTAAGGCTGAGCGGAGATGGAAAAAAAGATAACTTACAGGTCCCTTCACAAAATTTAAGAGAGCGCTGGGCCTTATACCAGCTTAAAGTAAAAGAAGCAAAGCGGAAATACTTTGCAAACATTATTATGGTGAATTATCAGAAACCACATATATTGTTTAAGTTAACTGAGACTATTTTAAGCCCTCCCTCTGCTCTTAGTTTTGAGCCTTCACATGAAATGTGTGAAAAGTTTCTGCACTTCTTTATGAACAAGGTAGCCTCGGCTAGGGCGTGGATTATTTTGCCCACATCTGACCCCTCTGATCTTCCAATTTGCTCAGCTGTCTTTCAACAGTTTGAGTCGGTTACTCTTGCTCAGCTACAGGAGGTGGGGGATCATTTAAAGCCTGTAGGCTTTTAAAATTTATTTTTATTAGTTTTA